AGACTTGTGGACTTTGACTCCCAGAATTCCAGTCATGCTAGCTCAGGAATTCTGGGAGTTGAAGTCCACAAGTTTTAAATTTGCCAAGTTTGAAGACCCTTGCATTACAGGGTCAAATTATTGTTCTCGATTAATGACATCACATTGGCACAATGGAGAACAGTGTTTTCTTCCCACTGAATTTGATAAACTGCTCACAACCAAAGCATGGGAGCACATCAGTACATGGATATATGTCTTTGTAAAATAAGTGCACTGATACAGTAATTTCTAAAGTGTATATGATTAACTATTTGGGGAGCATTTTAATTTCATTTTAGCTCAATTTATTGCGAATAGATCATCAGATATTCCATTTTAAGTGTAATTTTAAGTATATTCTTGATAATCGACTCCCTTTTAAAAGGAATATAAACACTTCATTTCCTGGAACAGGCAGCCTGCCTCCTCTGCCAATCAGTGGGGAGAGAAAATTATGTTACCAAAGACTTTCCTATTCTAAATTTACTCAATGCTATCAGCATACTTTGAGTTTATAACTCATGCTAATAAAGGATTTAGCACACTTTCATCGTGTACTAATGATACATCATCTCATGGCAATGGATGATTCACTCAGTGATATCATATACAAGTTAAATAGGAGTGGAGACACATTGAACCCTGCAGCACTTCAAGGATGGGATCTCCGCTTTTCATAATCATTGACTGACTATAATTAACCCCTAAGAAAGGAAGTGAACCAGCACAACACCATGTTGACCACCCACATTCCTCCAAGCCAATTCAGAAGGCTACCATGGTTGATGGTATCAAAAGCCGCCAAGACGTCAAGAAGGGAAGGATGGATGCACAACCCCCATCCTGCCCATGCTAGAGATAATCCAATACCATGTCCCCTCTTATACCTATTCTGAACCTCGACTGAAAAGGATCAAGATAATCCTTTATAATACTTTTAATAGTTTATGATTAAAATTTTCAATTTTTTCACAGCAGTTAGCGGAAAAGCAATTAAAATAAAGAAGTTATCTCAAAAGATATTTCCAACTGAAACTTTTAAGTAAAGATTACTATTCATCTTAACAATTGATGAACATTTGATTCAGGACCTGATTTACCAAACTGTTTTATTTTGTGATTGTTGATCTTCTCACTGCCTCCCACATTGCACCAATTCTCGACATCATTAGGACTGCAGTAAGAATGAATCTCTTTCATCAAAGCCATCAACACTAAATTTCATGAAAGTCTCTTATATTCAGTTGTATATCAGATGCATCTCTGCTGTGAGACATGCTTTAAGAGCAACCTGACATCCTTTTCAAGGGCACAGTTCCTCATGCCTGGCATATTACTTGGATACAATCATGCTACATTCAAGATTTCAGCAGGAGAAGAGCACAATATTGGATTATAGCCATGCCTGGAAAGATTAATACTGTTCAGTCCCCTTGCAAACCAAACTGGTAAATCTGAACTTCAGCAGTAATATTAATTCTTGCAAGATGAACTAGAGCTATTGATTGACAATGGTTTGATTGTTTGTTGTCTTAAATAACCCAAAGTCAATATATTTTTGTAGTTTACTTTAATTCTACCATGCTACCATTGCCTTTATCAGTGGTACAGAAACATGTTAATATGTAAACTTAGTGGCATTAGTTTTTCCACTTATGGCCATGTTTTTGGTTGACTTTAAGTGGATTATATTCAACCAGAGTTACTCATAATGTTTATTAAAACAAGTAATGTGAGCTTAAATGGCCTGCTATGGCAGATCAATTACAACCCTTTTAGTTTATTTCAAAAGTGTCCCAAATGACTAATCAATGTATTTATACTTACACACATATGCATATATTGAGATAAGAGTGAATATCTAGCATGTCTAGAATGTCTAGCAAGGTTAGCAGATACTATGCTGTATTAAACACTAACTACTTTTTTCTCAGATAATCATGCCTTGATTACCAAGTTTAGGCAAAAACAAAAATATCCAGTTGTTAGGAAAAATATTACCCAATTTCCGTGTGGTGATTTTCCTTTCTATTGTTTTATACCACTAGGAGATTGCATCTGCATTTAATATTTAGTTGTCCCTAAATAGTCATTCTGTCCTCATGCTACATTATTGTGAATATGTAACAGGAATAAATGAAAGAAAAAGGAAATCTACAGTGGCGTTTGTTTTCCCTATTACTGTTTCACACCTTCTGTTTATATTCCTTTGATATGTTTTCCAACATCTTCTGGTGTAAATCCTTTTTCTACCTGAATACTTTATGTGTTTATATCATGTTCTCTTTAGATGAAGCTAGAGGGAAGCAGGATGGGGGTCTTTACCTTATGTGTAAATGATTGCTGCCTTTTGTGTGAGTCACGCCACAGAGCTTCAGACATAATAAGGTTGTAAGTCAATTGGGAGCTGCTGGAGCCACTGACAATTCATTTGCACTTTCAGTACCCACTTTTTACTGTGCATCCCTCCCTGAACTATAGACAGCCATAAATATATCCAAATCATGGTAGTGAAGAGTTGTTGTGGTAATAGTGTTTTTTAAAAAGGAAAACCCAGCAGGAGTAAAATATAGAACTTAAAAACACAAGAAAAATATGATAAGCTGCAAATTTGACAAAATTCCAACTATTGATTGACTGGCTGTACAAATTGAACATGTTAGTAACTAATTGGGTGCCTTGCTTAGGTAATATGTTTAACCTAGTTTTAAAGGGAGCATTGGAGTCAGTAATGTAGAATGTCAGAGGATAACTGTACCATGACCAACAGGGTCAGTAATAAAATGACACAAAGGTTAATTGCAGGGACAGACAAGGGAACTGAGGTGGCAGATTAAAAGAAATGGGCTGAATAACATTGCATTAATTCTGCAAGGGAGAAGACGGGAAATTATTTGAAAATCTATTAGACATTCAAGTCCACCCCTGACAATCTTAGATGAGGTTAGACTTTGTGCCTATTAAAGTTTGTAGCTGAAACCAGAGAACGATTGGAGACATGTATATGGCAAGGAGAAGATGCTGCTATTCTACTTTATGCTTAATCCCACTTTACCACCAGTTGCTCAAGACAGTATAAATTGTGCCTCACCCCACAATAACTCTGTAAGGAGGGTTGAGCTGATAGAGTGTGATTGGTCCAATATCGCCCTATGAGTTTTTATGGATGACAGTGGGCTTGAACCAGGATATCCCCAAACGTCGTCCAACATAACCACTACAACAATGTCACCCCTCGTTTGTTTTCTGTATACCTAGTTCATTAGTCTATTTTGTTTTTAAAAATATACTGTAACATCAACATCAATCCACATTTACAACTTAAACTTTTTGAGTAGAAAATCCAGAGTTTCACTTATTGATCAATTCAATACACTACGGATGTTAAAATCACTGCAGAAAACTGTTGGAATAAAGGTGGAACCTACTGGGAATGCAAAAGCTTGAAAAGAGGAAAAGAGTGCTAATGTTTCACTGAGGCCAGATACCATCAGAAAATTTATGATATTTAGCTGCTCATCCTATTCTCTTCTGCACCAAGTGATGCAATAGATGTTGTGTTCCAGCGCCTGGACACTGTTTGAATCTAGATGAAGGAAAACTGGCTCAGCTAAGTGTCTATGGCGACATGGTTCTTAAAGTACAATAGATACAAATTCAAAGTAAACCACTCCAAACACAATTGCAGAAAATACGACTTCAGCAACAGAGTGGTCAATGCCTGGAACTCACTACCCGACTCTGTTGTTACATCCTCAAACCCCCAAAACTTTAATCTTTAAACTGTCTACCGTGGACCTCACTCCATTCCTAAAAGGTCTGTAAGGGGGCGTGCAAAAGCACACCAGCATGTCTATCGTCCCTGTCCTACTGTTCCCATTTATTCATACTCATTTATTATGTATATACTTATACCTGTTTATACTTATATGTTTATATGTTATGTTCATACTTATACTTGTTTTCTCATACATGCTTGACAAACTAAATAAATAAATACATTAAATAAAGTATTTGATGCATCCCTTTAAAATTCCCCATTAACTAGCTGATTCAAAATGCAGTAACACAGTATTGGGTGCATACTCATGCAATATTTCTTCTATATGAATGCCGCTGGTTTGTAGTGAGTTTCTGAGAATAATTCAGGGTGCTGGTTATCAGCTATAAAGCCCTTCATGGCCTAGAGCCTGCCTGTCTGAGGAACTGACTCTCTCCCAACAATTTTGTCCTGTAAGATCTGACAGAGGAGGCACCCATCAGTTCCCATTCACATGATGAGACTTGGGATCCATGTTTCCTTATCATAACATCTTCTTTTTGAATAAGCATTCCCCTGGAATTCGGACTGCTCTGACCCTGAAAACATTTAGACCATCTTTAAAAATGTATTGTTTTCCTTCAAGCTCTTAACTAAATTGGTCTGCCATTTGTGTGGGCTATAGTTGTTCCTCCTTCTGTTACATTCATGTTTCTTGTTTCTGATTTTACATGTTGTATTTGTTTTTAATTGTATGTTGTCCAGAGTCCATGTTGAGGTGGTTAGATAGTTGGATAGAGAAAAATGATAGAGAGATAAATGGAGAGAGAGAGATGAGAGCGCGGGGAGGGAGGGAGGGACGGAGGAGAGAGAGAGAGGGAGGGAGAGGGAGAGAGAGAGGGAGGGAGGGAGGGAGGGAGAGAGAGAGAGAGAGAGAGAGAGAGAGAGAGAGAGAGAGAGAGAGAGAGAGAACAGAAATGGACACTAACATAGATCCTGAAGTCGGAAAACCATTGATCTATACTTTTTGATTTCTCAGTGTTACTTATATTAAAGGCAAAATCTGTGACATTTTGTTTGACTATATTTTTGCAGTGTGTTCTATGCATACTGAATCAATATGACTTCTAAAAGTGCTGTAGAAAGTATGTCATTAATTCCTGTACCAAAATATGAAACATTTCTATGAATATTTTACTCTAGTATTGCTTTTTTTCAGGTTTGTTTCCTGCAGTGCTGAACTTGGCTTATAATGCTCTCATCACCACAAATGCTACCTGTGGTAAAAGAGGTCCAGAAATGTACTGTAAAATGGTGGAACATGTCCCTGGCCAGCCAGCAAGAAACCCTCAATGCCGTATCTGTGACCAGCTTAGTAGGAATCCTAACTGTAAGTGTATTATATCTATTTCATGTTCTTAACCTCCTTCTCCGTGTGGATGCACATTGAAACCATCAATGCTTTTTCTCAGCTGAAATTATTATATTGGATCAAGAGCCATGGTGGCGCAGTGGTTTGAATGCAGTATTGCAGGCTAATTCTGCCGAATGTCGGTAGTTCGATTCTTACTGGCTCAAAACTGACTCAGTCTTCCATCTTTCTGAGGTCAGTAAAATGAGGACCCAGATTGTTGGGGGCAATATGCTGACTTTGTAAACTGCTTAGAGAGGGCTGTAAATCACTATGAAGCTGTATATAAGTCTAAGTGCTATTGCTAGGAATTATGCTGGATTCTGATTCAGGAACAGAACACAGCCATTGTAGAATATCATCTGCACGTTGGATGTCTTATGATTATATGAGAGCAAGTCTGCCAACTCTTTCCCCTATAGAACCAAAACCAGAAATTGGAACTTTGTTTTCAGTTCTACTGGCCTCCAGATGACATTAGAGTGCACAATTTGTAGAGGAGATAAGCCCCACTTTTCCTGCCCCCATGGCAGTCTTTCTTTGCCCCCAGTCGAGTGGGGGGGGAAGCAATGTTACTTCAGTGACGATAGAAATTGGGACAAATTATTTCCAGCCTTAGTTTGGAACTGAAGAAATCAAACGCAGGCTAGAATATTCTATAAGTAGAAATAGTACCAACAGGGATGTGGTGGGGAGGGAACCAGCAGGGAGAATCAGCAGATGGCCTTTCTTATACACCAATGGAGAATAAACTGGGGAATCATGTTTGGAGTCTGTCAAACAAGGAGGTGGAGACAGATAAGACATTTTTCATATCATTCTTAAGCATTCTGAATAAAAGAAAATGTAGGAAAATTTATAATATTATACATAATATCCAAATACCATGTTTTATTTTTTGGGAAGTCCCAGACCGAATACTATAAGTTGCTTACCTGTGATCATTCCTCAAAAAAAATTTGTGGGGTAATTCTGAAGGTTCTTTAAGCTAAAATCCAGTACGAATCAGTTCAGCAGCCTCTCAAGACCCCACATCTGCAGTTCTGACTGCTGTTAATCTGCAGTGCAGACAGCCATTCAAACACATGGTCTTTCATTACAAACTCATTTCATTTTAAGGTTTGCAAAATGTTCATTTGGCACCGTGAACTGTTTTATTTACCATAGATGGCCCTTTAATAAGAGTGCCATGTAATGTACCAGACTTTAAATGGTCCCCTTGGAATTTGTGAATCTGGTGCATCTCCCCTTAATTATGGTGGAAGGAAATGAACACACACTCCCTGGTTAATCATATGTGAGGCCAAATTAAAGACCACATTTTGATGAGTTGCTTGTGTGCAAGCTAACTCCCTCGTCATTCATCACCGAGGCTGGTCTTTATGGTAAGCTTTTAGCTCTATCAGATCCTACCCCCGCCTTTCTTGAAGGCAGTGTATAGTTTATATTATCTCTCACTTTTTAAAAAAGTAATAAAATATATTTCAGCAATTAATCAGTGGTTTCAATTTAATTAAGATTAAACTTCTGTAATGGGATTACAGTTAATTGTATATTCATCTCTCATTCTTTCTTTTCATGACTACACCTCATATCAATTTGATGCGGGGAGATTGATAGCAACATTTCTAATTAGACAACTTCTATTGCTATCACCTTGGAGACCTGGGCTTGATTTACAGCTGATTTTTTTTCCTCCCAAGATACATTTAAGCTCATTGCTGGAGGGGAAAAAGTTCAGAAGCAGTAAAAAGATCACATAGTGCCAAGAGTAATTTTTCTTCTTTCTTCTTAGCTAACAGGGTTGGGGTGATTTTTTGTAAAAGAGATAACAAATCCAATAAAAAATATTTCTCTCTCCAATTTTATTACATATGACATGTTAATATTTCCTTGTGCTGCTGAATCATTTGATATCTATGTACATTTTTTTAGCATTTGCAGTTTTAGAGCTAACAGATTATCTCCCAACAAATGTTTTAATTGTGTTTTCAGCTGTAGTCAGACATTTTTATTTATCAATGATTTTGAAAAGATTGCTTTTGTTTTGAAATACTGACATAATATGAAAACATTAATTTACACATTAACCTTGCTTAATGGTTTCAATGGTAATGATTTTCTTTAAGCAACATAGATATATGCCAAGCAATTATACATATATAACAATCAGAAAAGTAGTGAGTAAAATAAATTAAAGGAAAGCGGTAAGAGAAAAGTAAATATTCTTTACAACAATATTCATTATACCTCTTCATACTTTTCTGTTTCTGGAAACCATCCTTGTTTCTTCCATGTCCATACCTGGATTATATACTGCCATTTTCGCTTTAAACTTCTCATTTTTTCTTTTTTGATGGTCTCAGTAATACTAGCCAATCAACTTTGTTTTTCTCCATCTTTCTCTTCCCCTCAACCCACTCATGAAGAATATATCAAATTCCTCAATTCTGGAAAACTCAGGAGCATGGGCTACTGAACTAGTTCAAGGTCAGAAATGGTGTAGTGTCTCCTGCTTGGGCAGGGGGTAGGACTATATGACCTACAAGGTCCCTGTTAAGGGTGTGGTTTAGCAATGGGAAATAGTTCAAGATATTTTAGATAAAACATTCCTGATGAAACAGGCCTATTTGAAGATTAGATAAACTACAGAATACCTCAAACTTTTTCCAGTGGAGTAATCACCAGATTCCTCCTGAATAGCATGATCCAAAAAGTGAAGGTATAGTTTGAGGCAATAGTGGGATTCAAATATTTTTTTTATTACCAGTTCTGTGGGTGTGGCTTGGTGGGTGTGGCAGGGGAAGGATACAGTAAAATCTCCAGTCAGAGGTGGTTTTGCAGGTTCTCTGAACTACTAAAAATTTCTGCTACCAGTTCTCCAGAACTGGTCAGAACCTGCTGAATACCACCTCTGGTCTGAGGAAATCATAGACTGGTATATTCACAGTTCTCAAAACATTCCTGAAGCAATGAATTTTGTATTTCCACCTTGTTTATTCTTTTTATATATATATATATATTTGTGTGTGCTTTACTTCTATCACATGTCCACCTTGTTGCATTCAGCAGCCTCACCTTACTATGCTTGTGAAGTATTCCATAATTAACTCTATTTACATTTATTTATTTATTTATTTTATTTATTTGATTTGCCAATTGTTTACATGATCATAAGCTTTTGCTAAATTAGCTAATGCACAATAAACATACTCCCATTCATTCTTTTCAATTGTTGGATGGTGCTTTGTGTCCTTCGAACTTGCTTCTTTTCCTGAAAATGTTTCATTACCAAGCTAGGTTAACATCTCAGGCATTTTCTGGTGCCATTATCCATTAATATTCTCTTGTCTCTGCTTTTCAGGAGAAACATGTGCTTTTTATGGACTACCAAGTTCAGCTGAGAAAGAGGCCAAAGGGGGAGACAGACTAAGATATTCAGATGATATAAAAGCTAGTCTTGCTGGAACAAGTAATCTCATCCCCAGGATAAACTATCCAATCTCTTTTGTTTCCTGAGCTGTAAATTGCAACAGTTTTCCCTGTTAATATAGACATTGAACCTTAACATGTTTCTTTGAAAAGTTAAGTCTTGACTCTTAATCAAAAGATTGAGGCAGAGGTGCTTTGACTTTATTGTCTGCTTTGGCTACATCATATATATGAGTGTATTTATACATGAAACATTCCTTTGAATCTCTGTATAACCTTTAATATATATGTTTTCTCTTATTAAATATTAAGATATAGATCTTATTGATCTTAAAAAAATAGTTTTTAGAAAAATTAGCTATCATACAGGTAGACGGTTTCCTTAAATGCAGTTCACTAGGGATCACTTCTGAGTACTAATGATGCCATTGGAAGGTGCCTGATAAATCTGTTTCAGGTTCCTTTGGAATTAATGACTATTTCATTACATCAGAATCCAGTGAATTATTCTGAGCAGAAGCAAATGGGAAGTTGTGGAGATAATGCCAGTCCTCCAAGGTAGCTTGAAAACCTGCTGAAGAAGCTTCTTGGATGAGAAGCGAAACATCTTCATAGAAAAAAACAGAAAGTCCAGTTGCGTCTTGAAAAAGTATTTTTGGGACAACATGACCTGGATGACTGAAAATCTCCAAAGACATTTAGCGATGTACTTGGAAACTGAAGACACACAAACTAATACTACTTTTAGTATCTATTATAGTAACAGAAACTTGTACTTCCTCTTTCCTTCCCTCCCTCTCTCCCTCCTTTATCTTTCTGGGAATTAAAGAGGGTCATGTATGAGGAACTTTCTCAAATTATTCTTCTACTCCAATTCAGATTTTTTTAATATGACCATTGTGTTGGTTGCAGTTCTTTTTTCTGTTCCTCAAGTTTATTTCTTCTGCCCATTACAGATAGACAAAGGAAAGTTGTGTCACCATAGAATCCTGTCTTAATTCATTTTCTAAAGAACTCATTGAACTTAATTTTATCACAAAGCAATGCAAAGTCAGCACTGTGTCATAAGAAACTTAGAAAAATAATTTTATCTAAGATATTATACAGTATGTTCTACTTGCACTCATATGAAAACAGAATGAAGGGTAAAGAAGAAGATGAGTTTCATTTTGTGCTAATTAATTTTTTCTTGGTTCAACAGTGAGACATCCCATATCGAATGCAATTGATGGCAAGAATACATGGTGGCAAAGTCCTAGCATTCAAAATGGAATGGAATATCACTACGTGACCATCACACTTGACTTACGGCAGGTAATCTTTATTCTTGAAATTTATAGGAGAGAAACTGACTGAACCAGGGGGAGGAGTCTAGAATCCCTACAAGGTCACAACAGGATGAAGTCTGAGCCTCCCTGAATATCTTTGAACCTCATCTGATCTCATCCAGGTGCAAATTGTTAGTCTGAGAAGATTCCTGTGCATAGATTTGAGCAATAAATCAGCTAATTTAATTCTTCAAGTGTGAATCTGGTTGTTCTCACACAGGTGAGATTGGATATTATAGTTTAGTGGTAAAATTGCTCCTGTATTTCTCCATAGGATTCTGAGCATCCATTTTATTCTGAAGTATCATCAAGTCCTGATTAATTAGCACAAACACTACAAAATGTGAGCTATTCACGGTTGCCTCATTTTACCACATTTTACCACCATATTATAGTTATTTTTTATTATTTTTCATTTAATAGCTACTAGACTATGTAGTAAGAAGAAACTATTTAACAAGATTTTCAGTGTGAAAGTCAGTGCGACTGGTGTCTACTCAGTGATACATGCTTGGCATATGGAACTCATATTTTTAATCCAGATGTTTTCAAATATGGTATGAAGAGGCACAGTCTTGTCAGAAATTGAAGAGCTAGACCCAGCCAGCATAAAATGTTTTGAACTAGTTAGACTAATAGTCTAATGGAATGTAAATGATTGTGATTATTCCTATATTACTGCAGCTGGCAAACTCCCACCTAAATGTTCATAATAGTGGTCTATTTACAAGAATAAACTAGGATCCTAGGGGAATTATTTCTCTTATTGAATATATAAAAGATCCACTCACATTAGCATTTGCTTGCATGTACAAGGGAAGAAGATCTACATTTTTTTTTTTTTTTTTTTTGCAAATATTCAATATCTGTCTTGGAGCCAAAGGACTAGACTGCTAATAGAAGAGAAAGAGATATAAATGATACAGCAGTTTCCCCCCAGGATTCAAATAAGCAGGGTTCATAGAACTGATAAAACTTTCAGTCCTCTATTTATATCAACATCAGAAAACTCATAACAACCCAGTCTTCCCTTACCAGTTTTGTTTATGTACAAAAACTACATAAATGTTTTACAAAGCTAGAAAAATGTACCAAGTCTCAGAATTACCCTAGAATCTCTGAAAAAGAATTCAAAGGCAATTTGCATCACCTTAGAAACTTGATTCAAAGCTTTTATTGAACAAGTTGATTCAGTTGAATTACCTTTGAAAGAGAGGGGGGAGGGAGAGATGGAGAGAGAGAGAGAGAAAGAGAGGGAGGGAGGGAGAGAGAAAGAGGGGGGAGCGAGAGAGACCCTTACTAAGATTCTATTGTGGACATTAGAATTGAGCTGCAAATTCTCTGCTGATATTCATCTTATTTAAGGTTATAAGAGAGAATAAAGACATTCTACTTGCAGAAGTAGCCTCCCACCTGCTGCCCTGGGTAGCTCCAACTTCTGTATCTACTATTCTATATATAATATTGAATGTAATACTGGATATACTAGATAAAAAAAAAAGCATTAAGGTTTTATGAAGTGGGGTGTCAAAATCAAAACTTTGTTTATTTGTTTGTTGAGTACAAGTACAAGATTTAGCTGTTAACAGTTATAAGCCATTTACTGGTAGTTCCTTATTAAAATGCTTCATCCTTTTATAAGATTGTGCATTTTCTATTCCTACAAGTCATAAGATGAAAATTGCAAGAATACATTAGCAGCTGCTCTTGATAAATATGGATGTGCATGGAAAGCTTTTAGCAAATTCTCATATTACTTAAAAAAAAAGAAAAAAAATTACAGTTTACTTCATTAGATAAATCTAAACCTTTGGAGAGCCGCATTAAACCCCCTTGTTGAGTGTCCAGTATAATAAATAATAATAAGGACATAATAGAAAGATAATGTATTTGCACACGTTAGCTGGGTAAAGAAGAAAATATGTATTTTTAATTTAATAATGAGTGATGGATCTGGGTTGGGATGCTTTTTTCTGTCTTCTAATATTAATTTTTATAAAAATTCCCTGAAAAAAAAGTATAGTCAGCTGATACTCCATGATACCATTAAGGCTCAGCTGGAAGAGTACTAAGAGTACACATAGATTTTCAAGTCACACTATCTTAGTTATGTTTTACAAGCTTGGGTTTCATAATACATACAGAATTGTTTAAGATATGTTACTTAAGAGATAATAGACTTACGAAGTATTTTTCGGTTTGAATTATTCCATGGAGACAAGAGAGGAGAGGTATGTTGTGCATTTATAGTAATTTTGTTCTCTGTAAAAGCCATCCTTTCAACAGAAATGGATTGTGGTGTGCACCATTGGTGAGTAAAGTTCTATCTTTGATTCAGTAGGGAACCAATTAAAAATACATTTAAGGATATTTCCTTTGTTGTGATCCTGAATTTGATTGCAATAGAGCTAGCCCATTTAGACCATTTCCCTCACTGCAAAAAAGATAAAATGGAGAATGTGTGTCATACTACCTTGTCAGGTTCCTAAATGCCGCAAATAAAGTTCCTGGATTACAGAGAACAGTCATAGATGAAGATCTGTTTAAGTAGGTAGATGGAAGCTTGTAGCTATCATTCCCATATCTTCATGTAATGGAGTCATATTTGAAAACTATTCTAAATGAACTGAAAAAGTTTCTGACAATGAGATCCGAACAACTATAGAACAGTCTACTTACAGAGGTTATGGATTCTTGTTCATGGAGGTTTTTAAAAAATGGATAGATAACCACCTCTCAAGGACAATTTAATTGGTTTTCCTGTGCATGAAAGTTGAACTAGATGTCCCTGCCTGATCCATAATTTTAGAATTTTAGAATCAAAGTATCTTTGTAAGTATGTACACACGTACAATATATGTGTATTGCCTTCTGTACAGATTCCTGCTTCAGTGATTCAGTAGACCTATAGAGCTAAGTACCTGAAATTAAACCACTGAAGCCAATAAAATTAAAATAGGCTGCCTTTATACAATATGACAAGATAAACAGTCTGCATGAAACCTGCATGTCTCTAGATTTGTTCAATAACAGAACCCATACTAAAGTTTACCTCTTAGTGATGTGATTTTATTAGTGTCGAATATTTATACTGCTGCCTTTATCCCTAAAATCTGGAAGCTGGTTTATTTTAAGTATCATGCTTACAACTGTCATTTATAATATTTCTAAGTAAACATGCAGGACTTTGATTTAATCTTCATTGACATAAGATATATTCTAGCATATATCCCATTTTGGAATGCTATTCAGCCTTACACTACAGTTTAAGCCAGCTGTTGAAAAGTTTTAAAGTATTAAAATAAGACAAAATGTTAAAAAATAGATGAATTTGTGACAGGTTTGAAATATATTTTGGGTTTTAAATTATAGGTAATCTTTGTTTTATCAAATGTCTTATTTAGTGACCATTTGAAGTTATGATGGAACTGAAAAAATAACTTTATGGCCATTCTTCACACTTAGAACTATTGTAGCATCCCTGAAGATTTGGATTTTGGGCATTTATAACCATTGACTGTTCCACAGTCTGAACATCACAATTTGTGTACTTCACAGCTGGTTTCTAATAATCAGAGCTAATGGAGAAACCAACAGTAAAATTGTAAATCACGGCCACATGATGATCTTAATAAACATGGGAGATTTGCTTAATGACTGCAATGAAAGAAAGTTGTAAGTGTGACATGTCATATAATGTCTTACTTACTGACTACAGTTTAGCAATAGGGTTGACAGTCCCATTTGTGGTTGTTAAGCAACAACCACCTGTATAAAGCAGTAATAGTTATGACATACTTTTAAACCTGTTGTTTGCAGAATAAATAATAGTATGTCGCAAAATCTTTGTGTACAAGATATTAAAATATATATTTCTACCAGCTATTTATTTCAGAGACTTTAAATCTTTAAAAAAAAATTATTCTAGAAAAAACATTTATTTGACATACATTTAAAACAGACAAATCAATATATATATATAT